TTAGTATCTGGTGGCCAGCTGCCATGTATGTTTACATCCTGTTTCTTTTATCCCTGTTCATTTGGATTGCCAACCAAGAATGAAGAAGACACCTTGCTTATTTGAATTAAATTTGATTGCCATACCTTCTATAATTTCCACTGATTTTTTGAGTCCCTGGTGTTTAATGAAATGTAAATTGTTTGGTGATCTTCTATGTCCATTCAATTAATATTTCTCGTAGCAGGATTGTGTGTCATAGCATTTGGCAGTGCTTTGTTTAGCTAATGTCCAGAGAATATGCTCTGAATAGATTGTATTCTGGATAAATAAGTTAGGCATTTAAGTAGAAACCAGTGTGACTAATGTGGGATATCAAATTCTCTAGGACTTGCAATTCTATATATGCTTGAAGAATGCATGCATGAAAACACAAGCCATTTCATAACCTTGACTTTGATTGCGTCACATAGCTTTGTGCTGGTGTTTGCATTGTAACCAGCTAGGGCGATCTCAGCACTGATGGGTGATTGATGTTCTCTACTAGAGTGTCCAGTTCTTCATTATATTACCACAGTCACTATAAAAGCCTGTTGGTCAGGTTGGCTTCATCAAGGTCTTTTCACTGATGTGGATTCTTCAGCATATGAGTGAAATATGTCTTAGCCCATTTAAAGGATGTCTTTATGATTTGGAAGCACAAAAATATGTCTAGCTTGATAAGATCTTGCATATGAGGCCAGTATCTAAATATCACTGCAAGAGTACTCAGAACCAATTCTGCATAAAGGATGACGATTGCCTGTAATGACCACTTTAGGCAGAATTGAAAAATTACTTCTTGTAACCTAAATTGTTCAGGACAGGAACTTTTTTCTTTGTATGTTTATACCTAATAGATAATATATGCCATAATGCATATGATGCACTGTGTACTAGATAAAGGGATGGGCTCTACAATATTCAAGGAGTTAAACTGCAAATGTGACAGAGTTTTCCAGCAGCCTATCTTCAGTTAACTGTCTAGGTTAACTTTGGCCAGCGTTTTTCTACCAGGTTTGGGTTTCGCATACTGCCTTAAAGATTCATCCTCCCTAGGTTTTGCATTTTTCCCATTGCATAATTTGTTGGGATGTCAGTCCAATAATAGTAACATAAAATATGACTTGCTATAAATGAAAAAGTGAATATGAACATTTTAAGATAGTGAAAAATAGCCATTTTCAAGGGAGAGACAGTAGTGGTTTATGTGTGAAACTGAAAGAGGAAATCTCGAGTCCTTTTCTCATTTATGCTGTAAACTGTTCTTGTCATATTGGACCCAAGACATTCTCATGAGGGGTTGGGTAGACTGGGACCCCAAGACCATTGGATCTGAGATCAGAATATGGCATTTGTTATACTGACCTGACACTTTTCTTTGTTCCTGACTTATCTGTACTATGTTGCTCCCAGCCATTCTAGGCTTTATTTATGATACTGTTTTGATTATTCAAATAGTATCAGAATATGTAGACTATTAAGAACCTCACTGGCAGTATGCAGATATTGTATATGGTAGAATTATGTTTTACAGTAAAATAATTCTAATGTAATTCATCCTTCCTTACTGCAGTCTTGCTTTGAAATGTGACATGGGACTTGAGACTAAGAAAAGCTGGTTCTTGCTCTGTCATTGTCAATACATGGTATTTGCTGTGTGCAGAAAGGGTTTTAATTTCTGGGGCTGCCCATTTGGCACCCTTTTAACAAATGTAAGGTTTCTGGAGCAAAAAAAAAGATCCAGTATGCTTTGTGCTCTCTCCATTTTTTTTTTCCTCTTTGAAGTTAGTTTTACCACGTGATAGTCTAATTTGCATTGTAAATTGAGTTCATCCAGTTTGTGGGACAGTTAAGATATAAACAGGTGTTCATAAAAGTATAATTTGCCAAACAAAATAAACATTAGCTTCTAGGGATTTCTGATTATCATCTGAGCTATGGGAATAGGACAGCAAGTGAAGGGATCATTTTTCCCTGGAATGTGGGAGTAGGGGGAGGCAGAAGGGTCTTTGAAGATCTTGTTTAATTGATTCCTAGATGTAACCTTTTCCTGGTTTACATTTGGGGCTTTCTGGCTCTGCTCTCCCCTTCAGAATATGGGACTGATGCAATACAGGCAAATACCAGTACCTCAGTAAATGCTCCACAGGTTCTTTCTTTCAAGAGAGAACGTAACAAATTTGGGTAGATTAGAAATTAAGGGAAGTTTTTAAGTTTACAGCAGCTACAAATTTAAGTACTTATTAGAAGTATTGTGGGGGTTTTTCAGATAAATATAATTAACATAAATAAATGTCCTGTGTGTTTGGCAGTGTTCTTAGCAAGAGACTATGCCTATAGCAGAAGATGTTTATTAATTTTATGATGCACACCTTGAGCCTATTTGGCCATGACAAGAAGGAGGACTTCCCTCTAAGTGTTATCAATTAGCAGCTATAAAAGCTAAGATCCTTTTTAACATGAGAGCTCCTGATCTTCAACCTTAAAATAACTGTGCTGATTAGAACAGACAAATACAAGAGGTTTTAGGGTTTTTCCTGAACTTACAGAGTTACACTGCTATTGCCTGTGGATTTTTGCTCAGAGCTTGGAATGCTGCAGTAGGAGAACTATGCAGGCTATCTTCCTGACTTCTCTGCTAGCTTTCCTGTTTTCCCTGCCCTCTAAAGATACCAGAATCAGTGAGGAAAGCCAAAAGAGTCTTCATCAACTCTTGCCTTGGCTGTTGCATGTAGCTTTCTGAAGAGCTGTTAGCTACTCGTAAGAATAGAGAATGGAGAAAAGGAAAGCTAGGGAAAATAAAGAACAAGAAGAAACATCTGTAAACTGTAGCTGTAGGAATTATGTAGTATAGGCATGTCAGTATTACAATAGCTTAGAGAATATTGTTAAAACAGGGGAAACCCAGCGACATATCCTGTCTATCTCCAGAAGGCTCTGAAGTGGCCTAGAAGAACAGACAAAGATGGGATTACTCTTTCCTTTTTGATACCTATAAAATAAAGTGTTTTATAACAATTACCCAGAAGGTGACCTGAAAGAGAGGGGGAAAAATCAAATAGGATTTGTACTGGGAAGTGAATTCCTGCAGCTCAGTAGGAAGGTGCTTTCCTCATTTGCCTCCTTTGGAGCTCATTTGCTCCTCTTTTGTATTGGATCATAACCAGGAAGGCTAGTAGTTATATCTTGCAGTCATTCCTTTTAATAAAACTTCTTAACCTTAAGAAGTTTTACATTATTATCCTGTGACATAATAGTAATGGATCGTGGGAAGTTTATCTTAAGCTTTAGATTTCTAGTCATCGTGAGTATAAACAAAAGCTTCCAAATGAGGGTCCATTTCAGAGCATGCAGCGCCACTGACTCCTCCTGTCCCAGTAGCTTATGGAGGAGCGAGCTTCCTCCGTCACCTAAGACAAGTACTGACTCTGAACTGTCTTAGAGTGGCAAGATTATCTATTTCATTGCTGACAGTTTAATAGAAGGTTTAATGTTTGTTTATCTGTCCTCTAGATGAAATACTGGCTCGTGTAGGAAATGACTAGTGTTCACGTTGCGTTCAAGTCAAATCCAGTCCTTCCTTTGAGAAGGAGATGGAGTGCCATTTACCTGGCTGAATGCTTACCTGCGTTACATACTCCCAGGCCAGAAAACAAACAACCCCACCACCAAAACTGTCCTTCTGTCAAACAGCCACAACCTCAGGTTCTCTGTAAGAGCCATGATCTCTAACATTCAGCTCCAGCACAGGTCAGATCTTGAGCAGCACAACTCCCCTAAAAATCATGGAATAATTTAGGGTGAAAGTGACCTCCATACAACTAGATCCATTTAACTCATGATTAGTTGAACACCAAATTAATGTTTAAAGCTTTCAGGGCTCTCCTTTCCCTAGTAACAGTGTAAGCTTTGGATTGTTCTGGCTGTGTGCTGAGTATGGAGGCTTGAAAGGAAGAAATCAGGACTGCAATCAGAAATTCATGTCTAATGTTCTTGACTCTGACATGACTTGTTAATCACTTTTGAACAAATTACTGAATATTTCTGTATGTGTGCTTATACAAAATAGAAATGCATATAACAAATGTCTGACTCCTAGAGATGGATGATGTGAGAGTTATCAGTTTGCATAGCATTTTATTGCTATAAATAGTAAAACAAGTTAGATTCGTTTTCTAGAGGCAGAGTAAATAGTCTTTGTTTCTAAAACAGTAGTTTTAGGATAGACAATAAGGTCATATTGGTAGGCTAATATCAAAGCTTGCAAGTCTATTGGGTCCAGCATCCTATCTGCTGGCATTTTCTGTGAAATATATCGATTTCTACTGTATGGCAGGGGGGTTTTATTTCATTGTTGGTTTTGGTTAAAGATTTTTTGTTGGTTTTTTAAGTTTTGTTAACTGTGTTTTTCTATAAAGCATGTATTTGGCAACGCATATATTGCCATATACAACAGACTTCACCAGCCAGTCACGCAATTCCATTTCACATTGGAAAGCAACATCATTAATACTTTGAAATAACTGGGATAGGAGTGTTTTTTAATCATCAAAGTCATGCCTTTGTTGGACAACTTCTGAAAAGGCACAGGGAGAACAAAAGATGGAGCTTTATCAGTGTATGAAAGGAATTATATGAAGTAATTTCCCCTAAACAAGACTGGACATAGTGACAAAAAGTCCCACCAGCCTTATGGGTTCATAAATGCAGAGTAACATTAGGTGGAGAAATCTCACTAATGATTCAAAAAAAATCTATTGTTGTTTTAGCCTCATTTCAAGTCAACCTGACCCAAATAATTGTATTGACATGTATTAAGAATTGCTATTTTAGATCTACCTGAACCAAACTCTGAAACTGATCCTATTTATTATTTTATTTTTTGTTCTCATTTGTTAGTAGGTCATGATGGTTCTAAGTACAAAGCCTTAGCTGCCTGATTTGTAGTGTCTAAATTTCTGTTCTTTTGTTCTCTTTAGATAAATACAGGGCACCAATCGCAGTTGACTGTATCAAGTGCAGAGGTGGGAAATGAAAGGAGTCAAAATTTGGAAAGCAGCCCTTTCATGTCAGATCTTCTGAATGACGTACCCTTTGCCCTAGCACCACATGTGTTAGCAGTACAGGGCACCCACAGTGATGTTCCTGACCGATTGCTCACCTACGACATCAATGATAATTTATCAAGATTTTGGTATGACTTTACACTCGAAAATTCAGTGCTTTGTGATCTGTAATGTTTTCTTTATTTCTTTCTGTGTCAAGGAACAAGTCTTAAGATGAAGATAAAGACTTATTTTAATTGACTTAATATTTGGGGGCCCTGCCACTGGTTTATCAGATGCATTGCATCAAAAGGATTATTATTCACAACTGTGTTATATTTCTTGGCTTTAAGTGAACTGTAATTTGCTATGTTAAATATTCTGTTTATCTCCAAAGAAATCAAGCAAAACTGTTTCAGCCTGAGTAGGAGACTGGCTGTTGGTATCTACTTCCAGTAGGTAGGCTGCAGACACAAACATTTCATAACTCTCAGATGAACTCTACCCACGTCTGCACTGTTTTGTTATTTCACCCCAATACTAAACACATAGATCCTGTTACACATGCTAAGATCACCTCCAATTTTCTACAGATAGAAACCAGTATTAACGCTAAAGCAACGCTGCTTTGCACTACAGACAGCTTTTCAGTTAAACCAAGTTTTAAAACTCAGAGTTACTTAAATAATTATGAAGACTTAATAGAATTGGTTAAACTTACCAGTTTCGAAGTGCAAATCAGTTGCTTCGCTCCCTTTCCAGTAGATGGTATTTTTGTCCATCTCATTTTGTGCCTGGAGAAGTCCTCCCCGCCTGCCTGTTGGCTGCTGTTTGTTCTCATTACCACATGTGTTCCTGATTTATACACAGATCAGCTTTTCTATTTTAACCTCTTTGCCCCCTGAAGAAGGAAATCTCAGGACACGTACTTTTAATGGTCACACCCTTCTTTTTTTAATTTGTGTGCCAGAGATACAGATGGCAATGTTTAACAACAGGAAAACATTACATTGTTTCTTATCCAGCTAAATTAAATGGCTAAGTACCTAAACATGCATTCTCGCAGACCACTGTGTCCCCCACTCACAAGCTTTGAGCATGTTTTTCCCCACTAAAACCAGAGCTGCTGTTGCATGTGCAACAGTTCTCTGATGTAACATCACGATTTGTGATGAATAATGATCTGTGTCACACAAAAGACTACACTTGTTTTCTCTCCTGGGGTAGAATATTTATATTGTGCCAAACGTTAGTGGATATTTTCATATATTTTCTATGCACTGTGATAGCTTAAAATACATATATTTTCAGACTTGCAGCCTCTTACAGTATTTAAGATAAATGCTGTAAATGGTGGAGAAATTACATTGTGAATGCATCTTAGGTTGTTAAATATTCATGTTTTAGATTTTTTTAATGTATATATTTAATATTTTTGACATCTATGTTCATAAATGTTTTGAAGCTATTGTTTCAGGGAAGGTATCAGTGCTCCACTCCAATAAAATAATGCTAATAGTGAGTTATTTTTTATGTGTGAGAGTTATTACTCGGCTTCATCTGTACCATTCAGTATAGCTGTGACCATTCAGACTTCGTGGGAGCTTGAACTTGGAATCAATTTGGAAATCTTTTCAGTGTCATTTGAAAGTTGAGGTCCTTCTATTCAAATATATCACACTTTCATCTGATGTATTCTGTGTGCTATGTTGCTGACTTGCGGTGGTTTAGGGTGGTGTCTATGCTACTGCTCTGAGGGTAGTATGGCTGTGAGCTGGAAGGTATTCAGACCTCTTAGAAGGACGAATTAATTTTAGCAAGTTGTTTAGAACTGCTTTGTGTGCTGAGTTTTCTAGTTAACACATACCTGAAGCACTCTAATTTAATTTTCATTATTGTTTTATATTTGTTAAAAAATTAATCATTCTGCAAATAGCATGTTTCCATTCAAGTTGTCTCTTTTGAATTGGAAATGTTTCTGCAGCTTAGCTGGTCTAGAAGCAGAACTGCAAAAGACTGCTGAACACCGAACAAACTCACAATACTTGTTCTTTCTTTGCTAGCTGACTTGGCATATATTTTTTTGCATTCATTTTTTGCTTAAAGTTAGGTAATTTGTCCAAAATAATTACTTCTTGTCAGAATTGCGCTCTGTTACACTCACAAGCATCCTTTCAAAAGAGGAGAGACAAAGGAGAGTAGGAACGAGGCTATATTCACCCACAATGAGAAATGTGGACAGTAGGTCAAACATTTGGCCTTCATCTTTAATCGTGTTCTGTAAAGGGTAAAATTTACACCTAGCAAGAGTACTAATAATGAGCAAGGGTACTGGGAATGCGTCTCGTCACTGCCCTCTCTTTAGTAAGGGCTGGAGCTCCAACCTCTCCCTTGCTTGAGATCATCCATAAAAAGTGGATTGAAGGCTAATGGTATCCAGACAGGAAAGGTGAATTTCTTCCCACTGGGATAAGAAAAAAATACACTTAAACTGTTACAAATTAGTAAGATTTATGGATATTACTATTTGCACATTAATAAATAACATGAAGATGGCACAAAATCTTCAGAAAATTAAATATTTCAGAGAGTCTTAGTTCATTAAAAAATGTGAATTTCTTGTTTAAGATACGTTTAATGTCATATGCTAAGTGATTATTGCATAGAATATATGTGAATATATGTGTATCTGTCACCGTCAACAAATACTAGATGGATCTATATAGTCATTCAAACATTTGACCACTGATGAAGGAATGTAGTTAATTTTAAAAAACTTTAAAACTGTTAAAATATAATCAATATTGATATCAAAATAATAAACCACCCTGGCTGTCCTTGCTATATATTCTATATATAATAATGAGAACTCAAATAGAAGTATTTGCTTTGTGTTATGCATATATATGTAAATTGTTTAGACAGAACTGAAAGACACTTCATAGCTGATGTCATTAACGTCAGAATTAAGACAGGTTGCCAACTCCAGAACGAATAGTGAGAGACTGAGGTGTGATCCTGGGCCAGTGAAGTGCCGTGAATGGGAGCTTTTTCACTGCCAGTAGTGGACATATTACTAGGCCTGCACTCCTTTTATGAAATAGTTTATTTTGAGTTACTTTAGTTCATGGGAGATTTTGAGATTCCTTTGCAGTTCTCTACATTTTCCC